TTTTATTAATTTTTCTTTATATTATTGGGATTTTTCTTTATTACACAGTTCGAAAATAGAAGAGTTTGTGGTGAAATGGTTTTGTTTGTGCAAAAAGGCGAAATAGTTGTATGAGAAGACTGTGAAAATTTCTCCCCAAGCTTTTCACTACGATCGGCTAATTTCCGACAAAGCCGTCCGAAGACGTAAATAAGACAATACAAAAGTCTTAGAGATTCTTTCGTCGGTGGACTTTTTACATCGTGGGATGAAAATAAAGCGAGACATTAAGCGGGACTGACAGCAATCCACCAGGCAAATGGAGCATCTAAATGGATTACAGCGGGCGGAAAAATGGGAAAATATCACGCAACGGGAAAAACGAATGTAATAAATTGAAAAAAAAAAAAAAGAAGGGAAAACTGTCACATATTTTAGTCCATGTAGATCGTAAGACTGTGAAGTTATCAGGAAATGTTAAACTTTATTTTATAAGACAAAAATAACTACAGGTATTTTACAATGTTACTTGTTACATTAAAATGTAACAAAGGGTCTTCATTTAAATTATTAACATTTTATATCGACCATAATTATTATTAAATTGAGGGTGTCGGTAGTAAAATACTTGTGAATGTTGTGGATGTTGTTGTTACATTTACCAATTCTCGAAATTTCGCCAATATTCTTGGCTTCATCAGGAGATCAATGTTGTAAATTTATTATTAAAGCCATAATTATTGTAACTGTAAACTATGTAAAGAGTTATATAAATATGAAATTACACTTAAACCGTCATAGTCATTTCGGTTGAAATGTATAAAAACAGAAGGGTCAAAAAGGCGGTAAAAAGATTGGTGAAGCCAAGAATGTTGACGAAAATTTGAGAATTAATAAATGTAACAACAACAGCCCATCGTTTTGTTTACAAGTATTTTCCTACCGACACCCTCCATTTAATAATATTTATTTAAACTAGTACGGTAATTTCTAAGTTCAACATTATTTATAGTCCATAATTATGATCATTTATTTATAATCCTTATAATACTCAATGCAGACTGTAGTTAACTGTTACGTATAACCAATTAATTAACTATTAAAAATGTATTTGATATATTATATACGCAATTGTTTATTTTATTGTAAAATTTCATTTTACT